TCAATATAAAAAGGACATGGATCTGTTGGAACAAGTCCAGAGGAGGGCCACGAGAATGATCAGGGGACTGAAGCACCTTCCATATGAAGATAGGCTGAGAAAGTTGGGGCTGTTCAGCCTGGAGAAGAGAAGGACGCGTGGAGACCTCATAGCAGCCTTCCAGTATCTGAAGGGGGCCTATAGGGATGCTGGGGGTGGACTCTTTTATTAGGGACTGTAGTGGTAGGACAAGGGGTAATGGGTTAAAACTTAAACAGGGGAAGTTTAGATTGGATATAAGGAGGAAATTCTTCGTGTTAGGGTGGTGAGGCACTGGAATAGGTTGCCCAAGGAGGTTGTGAATGCTTCATCCCTGGCAGTGTTCAAGGCCAGGTTGGATGAGGCCTTGGGTAATATGGTTTAGAGCAAGGTGTCCCTGGCCATGGCAGGGGGGTTGGAACTTGATGATCTTAAGGTCCTTTCCAACCCTAACTATTCTATGATTCTATGATTCTATGACTGACATCATCTACATGGACTTGTGCAAAGCATTTGACACTGTCCCCCACAACATCCTTGTCTCTGAACTCTAAAGGCATGGATTTGATGGATGGACTGCTCGCTGGATAAGGAATTGTCTGGATAGTTGCACTCAAAGAATTGCAGTCAATGGCTCAATGGGGTGGAGATAGTGACAAGCAGTGATCCTCAGGGGTTGGCACTGGGACCAGCACTGCTTAACATCTTTGTCAGTGGCATTGACAGTGAGACTGAGTGCACCCTCAGCCAGTCCTCACCACACCAAGCTGTGTGGTACAGTTGACACGCTGGAGGGAAGGGATGCCATCCAGCGGGACCTGGACAGACTTGAGAGGTGGGGCAGTGTGAACCTGATGAAGTTCAACAAGGCAAAGTGCAAGGTCCTGCACCTGGGTTGAGGCAATGTAGTAATAGGAGAAGAGGGAATGGCTTTAAACTGAAAGAGGGAAGATTTAGATGAGATATTAGGAAGAAGCTCTTCATTGTGAGGATGGTGAGACACTGGAACATCTGGCTACCCCAGAGAGGTGTTAAATGCTCCATCCTCAAAGTATTCAAGGCCAGGCAGGATGGAGCTTTGAGCAACCTGGTCTAATGTGAGGTGTCCCTGCCCATGGCAGGGTGTTGGAACTAGACAATCTTTAAAGTTCCTTCCAATCAGAAACATTCTATGATTCTGATATAGTGAAGAACCAATCCATGGAAAATGAGCACACTCTCACAAAACAAAAACAAATCCAAATAATCCAAACCTGCTAGAAGTATCTCTGAGAGGCTTTTGAGATCCCACTGGCTGACTGGCATAGGCATGAGCTGGCTACCAACATAGCTCCTATCCCAGAGTAGGTCCCAGTGTTCACCTTAAGCAAAGCAGAAGACAAACTGCAATCCCAGGCCACCTAAGCTTGAGTGGTAAAACAAGCTATTGACATAAACAGAATGTTTTCCCCCACATTCCCATCCTAGGGCAACAGCCTCACAGGTCATGGAAGTATTCAGCCTTTGAAACAGAAAGCAAGGTCTCTGGAGATGGACACAACTCATAAGGTCAGCTCTGTCTTCTGGTGGGACCTTGGGCCTGCTGCTTTGGGATGTCCAGCTCAAAGAAGGCCATACAGTCAGAACAGCTTCCACTGGGACCAGGAGAGCAGCTGGCACTGGTCTATAACACAACAGGGCGCAGCTGTTACTCTAACACATTGACTACTAAGAGCCCAAAAGGAAGAGTGCTAGAAGTTTGTCTCCCAGAGAGAGAAGCCATCCCAAAGCAGAGCAGGAGGATCCCACCTGCACCAGGGTAAAGGCCTCTGGTGGCTTACTGGGCTGTCTCTGTCACTTTCACAATTTGAAACCAAGTCAGGTCAAGAAAGTGTTGCTCACTGGTGTGGCTGCAGTGCCTGTAGTTCCAAGCATCCCCTTTGTATGATCTGCTCATACTGGCTTTCACTAATTAAATAAAAAGCAACTTCAAATTCACCCCAAAATTACTCTCTTTCTGCAGTTTTTAAACTCTCAATGTGCCTCTTTCAAGGACAGTTTTAGTATTAAGTGTCCTTCAAGGTAACATACACAAGGAAGGAATCTGTACTTTAATTGGACTATTTTAGCACTGTTGTATCCTGAGAAAAAGCAAAATACCTGGCAAAACAGATCTACTTTTATTTTTATTATTATTTTATGCTCCACTGACAAGTGCAGCACATTACACCTGAGACAAAGCTTAACACCAAAGAACGTAACAGGTAGCAGAACAGCAAAAACAAAAAAAATACAAACCTAGCTCCTCTTGAAACTGATCCAGCACAAGCCTGAAACTCATCTGGCATATTCAAAACTAAATTCCTGGAGAACTGAAGATCTAGTGGATTTGGCTTGTGTCTTGGAAGTCTTTCCTGAGTGCTTCTAGTGTGTTGGACCAAATGTAATGATAACATATCCCAGTAACTGCTGTGCTTGGATCTGCTGCCAAATTTCTTTCTGATTTCGTTCAGCTACTCAGATCCAGAGCAAACTGTCTTTGGTAGCTTCACTTCAGATTCAAAGATCCACAACTACTGTTCTCCTAGTTGCAAAAACAAATGGGGAACCTCATAGAAAAAAAGTGTGCTCCAAAACGCTCAGAGGTTAGATAACATAAACGTGAAGGTTTATTTGTCTGACTAAGCTGCCAGAAAAGAGGTAGAGGGGGTATATAAACAAACCAGTAAATATCTACAAAACCTTAGATATGGAAGGCTGCTTCTACTATCAAAGTCTGCAATCTCATAATTTAGAACAAACGGCCACCTGAAACTGTTTCCAAGAACTGGTTTTCTCTGTAGCCCTATCACAGGTCTGCTGAGCTATTGCTAACCAGCTTTTTTCCTACTTAAAAAGTGTGTTAGAAATCTGACCTGGATATGCTTCCAGGTGTATCTACACTACAACCAAGATAATTTAAAGTACTGAATTCAGATACTTGCAATCTTAATTTCCTTAATTTTCACTAACCTGTTCTACATTTGTTACTTCTGAATACATGTCTTAGGGGACTGAAAAACAGGAGTTTTAAGTTGGATACTTAAAATGCACAGCTTATTTTCATCCCTTTCCATGGATATGTCCAAGTATTATTTGCAGAAACAAAAACTGTTGTACTTATTTCAATGTCTAGTCTCCCACTTGATAATTGAAAACAAGCATTTGCTGTGGAACAGCCTGTGACTTCCACACAAGACTTTTGACTGCTGAGCAATAAATCGCTCTTTTGCTGAGGAAAAGCCTCTTTCTACTACCACAGGGTTTAATGACATAGACTGTACAGAAACTTTGATGAGAACTGGTATCTTCCCGGCAGGATCTGCAGGTCTGGAGCTTAGCAATACTCAGTTTGAATCCAGAAATACATTGCCTGCAAAGTGCCTCATCAGATAGCTGTATGAAATTCTTGCCAGGAGAACAAGTGGGATTTCCAAATAATTTTATAATGATGCCGAAATTAAAAATACGTTTGAGGAATACCTCTTCTAAGCTTGCTAGTCATACTAGAACATGCAGGGTTTTAAGATAAAACAAGTCCCTTTGACTATAAAGCTCAACAAAGCCTTTCAAGGTTCAGAGACAGCCTATGATTCTCAGATCAGTCATTTCACTGACTTCCTGCTGTAAGCAGTATTCTGGAATGTCCTCCGTTCCCTGTTAGCAAAATCGTAACTTTCAATAACACAGTTTTAGTGTGATGGATCTTCTCTGGAGTCTACATGAAAGTAAGGAGTCGAGTCAAAAGACTTCACATGCAATGAAAACATCAAGCTTTGTAATGAATGCAGTTTGGGAAGTGTAGTAATGTGCTGCACAGAATGGCCTGCTAGAATTATCCCAAATAATATACCTATGTAAATTACATTTGTGCTGCATGAGCACATTTTGAAAACGAGAACAATTCTTCTATGTAGTATTTCTGACGCTAAAAAAGAAAAGAAATAACATCTTTCTTTCTGCTTCAGTGAAGCTGGAGAATGCAATGCACATGAAGATGTTCATAGCTTCCTGAAGCTTAGCAGTGCCTTGGTGGAATACCTCCATCTGGAAGTACCAGCCATCAGCCTGTCAAAGTAGGTGGTGACAGACTGCAACACTTCTACTGTTTGCAGGCAGCTCCTGCTGCTCATACCCTGCCTCCCTCGTGTTGTCCCCAACCTAGAGGCCAACTCTTCCTCACCAATCCACAGCTTCTCTTTGCAAGCAGATCTGGTAGCCTGCAGACAGACATGGCCACAGAACACACGACCTCTGAAGATGATCTGGTGGCCAGAGCAGCCTCTGCTGCTCTGCAGGAGCTAGCTGGGCTCAACAATTTACAGAGGGGCAATTTTGTCAAACCATCTTCCCCACTGATCCAGCAGGGCTTCACAGAGTGTGTCTTGACACCCCTGGGACAAGATGCGTTCACACGATCACCCTCACAGCCGGGAAACAGTTGGTCCCCCCCACAGCTTCACTCTCGATCCTGTTCAGGATTTAGGGCCGCTTTTCTCTCGTGTCTGACCTATAGCTGCTCAATTCCAGAGGCCGCAGAACACCTTCCCCTGACCAGGCCCGCGGCCCCCACGGCGGTCCCACGCTGCCCCGAGAACACGAGCTTTGCACAGCCCTGTCAATACCCGCAGCGCGCTCCCGCCGCCCCGTCAGCACGAAGCGGCCCGCCCTGCGGCTGCCCCTTCCTCCCCTGCCGCCCCAACGGGGCCGCGCCGCGGCTCAGGGGAGCAGGGATCCCCGCCGAGGCCGCTTCCCCGGCGCCAACGGTCACCCTCGGGCACCCGCGAGGCGCGGACGGGATTGGGAGGGAGGTGGCTGCGGCGGTGCGTCCGCCATTGCCCTGCCACGGCGTGCCGGCAGGCGGGGGCGCCAGGCTCGGCTCGGGGCGGCCGGGCGGGCTGGTAGCAGTCGCCGCCGCGGGCCGCGCGTCCTTTAAGACGCGGCCGGCAGGCAGCGTGCACATCGCCAAGGCAACTGGGGGCGGGCGCCGGCGGCCGCGCTGACGTCGGGGGGAAGCTGAGCAATAACAACAGCGACGCGGGGCGGCGCGGCAGCGTCGGCGTTCCCAGTGCGCCTGCGCGGCCTGCGGGCCTGCTTCTATTTATGTGGGGGGGCGCCAAGATGGCGGGGTTGGAGGCGGCGAGGAGAACGTAGGGGGCAGCTCCGACCGGGCGGCGGAGGGGGGAGGGGAGAGGGAGGAGGAGCCGGGGCCGGTGGGAGGGAGCGCGGAGAGCGGTGTCACCGAACGCGTGAGGCGGGGGCCGGCGAACGGCAGGCGGGGGGCGGGGGGGGTGGCGGAGGATGGCGGAGCCGCGCCGGGTGCCGTTCATTAGTCTGTCACCGGTGAGGCGCCGCGAGGGCGAGAACCCGGCGCTGGAGCGGGAGCCGGCGGGCCGCGAGCCGGAGCCGCCGCCGGCGGGCCGCGAGGCGCCGCTGTTGGAGCCGCCGCACGAGCTCTCCCGGCCGGAGCCGCTGCCGCCGCCCCGCGAGAGCGCCGCACGCCTGGAGCCACCCCGCGAGACCGGCCGGGCCGAGCAGCAGCCGCAGCGGGAGCCCCCCCGGCCCGAGCCGCCGCCGCTGCCGCCGCCGCAGCTACCGCCGCCGCCGCCGAGGCAGAGCAGCCGGCAGGAGCCGCCGCCGCCGCAGGAGGCGCTCCCGCTCCGCCAGACGGTCCGCCTGGAGGTGGTGCTGAAGGACCCCACCGAGGAGGGCTGCGTGGAGTTCAGCTACCCGGAGCTGCTGCTGTGCGGGGACTCGCGGGTACGGGACCTCCCATTTCCCTCCCTTTCCCCCTCCCCTCCCACTGCGCTTCCTCCTCCTCCCAGCGGGTGGCTACGCACGTCCCTGGCCTCGCCGATAACACTGTTTGTCGCCCCTTGCTGCTCGGGGGTGGTCCCGACCCGGCGGGGCGGTATCATGGGGGGAAGTCTGGCGGCCTCGCAGTCGTTCTGAGCTCGTGGTGTTGAGGCTGTGCCCGTGCCCGTGCCCATGGGCGGAAGGGGAGGCTTCGCACTTGTCCCTGAGCTGGCCGAGGGCTCCTGGCTTTGGCTGTGAGCATGGGCGGGGAAGCGCCAGTACCTTGTGCCCAGCTTTCTCCAGCTTTCGTTCCCTCCCTTTGCCTGCCCGGGGAGCGGTAGTGTTGCATCCTCCCTTTCTAGGAGCTTTTTCCGGCAGCTGGACGAAACTTTTTAGCATGCCGGTCTGTTTTCCGGGTTGTCTATAGGCTATGTGCAGGTAAATGGAGAGTTACAAGCCCGGCTCTGCTATAAATGCTGGGAAGCAATGAAGTGAGCATTAGCAGACTTGGAGATGAGTTTCTGCAGGGTAGTTTTTGGGGAGGGGTGATGGTGGTGAATGTTGAAACTAACTTCGCCTGTAACTCTTAAGAACTTCGTTCAAGAAAAAAGTACTTTCACTTTTACTGTTCCTCCCAACCAGAAAATATTTGGTACTCGATCTACTTCGGTTTTTCAGAAGATCTTGTGTAGATGACTTCAAGAAGTAAGCAGCATTAGCCAGTTAACAGGACCCCCTGTTCAAGTAGGAAGGAGAAACGTGTTTCCTTAAGCTGGTCACACTTAAATCACTCATTCTTAGTGAGTTGCAAATACCAGTGAAGTTGCACTTGACTCAGAAAGTTGTAGTCCCTCTTAATTCCAGTACATGATTTCAGAGGAGGTTTCAGAGGACAAGGAAGTAACTACTATTATGAAGGCTTTGATAGCTCTGATGATAAAAGCAAACCTCAAATACACTGATATCGCCACTGTTTCTGCATCCAGCACAAACTTGAGAGTAGCTGAAACTCCTAATTTACCAAACCAAAGTGTTTCTAGGTGGTGATGCCATATAACTGTACTTAGCAGCCTGCTTGCTTTTGGTTTGTTAGTTGGAGGGGTGTATGCATTGGATTGTGTTCAGATGTGGAAAACGGAAAAGTTTATGATTGTGATTTTAGTCCCCCTGAGATCTAATGTGAGTTTGAAGGTTCCTTTTGTTCATGCTGGCCTACAGCTGTTGTGGGCAAACGGTGCCACTTACGACTCCTCTGAATTGGTGTGCAAAAGCATGCTGCCTTGTCAAGTGCTGTCTTTCAAAGCAGTTTGCTTATGAAAAATTGTGTTAGTGTTTAGAAGTGGTTCAGTGTGTGGAGGTTGACTTTTCCTTTTGGCAGTTCTGTAACTGCCTTTTTTTTCTTTTTTCTGTAGGTTGGTAATGTGTTAATCACACATAGTCATGGAAAAAAATGTCTTCTGAATGTTGTTTTGGATGTAAATTCCATGTCTTCTGGTGACAAGGACTGTTTTATGGGATTTTTGGTACAGTTGGGACCAGAGGATATATAGGATTGGAGACTTCTTTTAAGGTAGAAACAGTCGTAGAAATGCTTTATAAGAAGTTGTGTCTGTTTTTCAGCTCTCTAGAGTCCAAATTTAAATGAATAGATCGTAATGGTCTGTCTTGTTGGGCTATGTGGAGCAGTCAGTTGATTATGTAAAACAGTTATAAATTGTGATCCTCTTAAAGAAATTCTGGACTTGTGTTCTTGTAGAAAACCTGATATATATTTCGCCTGTCAGTTTACATTCTTGCTTGCTGTATGGTAGGAGCTGGAAAACCTACTCTGATATGGTAGGGAGGACTTAAGATCTTGTCTTAAATCTGCATGAAAAGTGAGGGGAAGCACATTTTATCCAGAAATAAAATTAGTGCATGCTGGTTCCTTCACAGGTAGAGCAAATACAAGAGGAGAATTTGCTCTGCACAGTGCAGGAGGCTTAGCATGACAGAGGTGTCTTCTACCCTGGTATGTTAATTGTCCAAAGTCCTAAAATAGAAAAAAAATTGTGAAAGGAAAACTGATCCTGCTTGTGGAGTAGGATAGCTATGGTAATTTATACCAGTTAATGCAGCAGAGAAAACTACTTTGTTAAAATGAAGCTTGCCCAAGAAGTGCCTGCTCTTTACGCTTTTCTGCAGAATCTGTAAGATTTTCTAAGTATGTAGTAATTAATGGGCAGTTAATGCTGTGGTTTTAAGTGGAGTGTGAGATTTCCAAATTTTTTTTTTTTGTTTTTAGTAATGATTCAGTTTAAAATGAACAGTTCATACAAACTTCGCTATGCAGACTGGTTTTGTAGGGTGAAGATTGACTGGCTTTTCAGAGAGCTATTGCAGGCTTCTTGAAGAAGTTGCTTGACTTGCTTATATCTATACCCATTAAAGTTCAGTGTTACAAAATTGGGAACTTGTCTTTCTATCTTGTGTTGCTTGGAACTGGAACAACCAAGAAAGTTGCTTTATAGGCAGGCAGTTCTGGGAAGGCAAAGGCTGGTGCAGAGGAATAACTTCAAACATGGCTTTAATAGGTCTTTTAATAAATGGCAAAGAATCCCAAAACTTACTTGACAGGAAAAGTGCAGCTTTTTTTTACCTTTTTTTTTTTTTTTGTCTTATTTGTTTAATTACAAATTTGGGTTCCTATCCTGAATCAGAAGCAAGTGGAAATGTTTGTTAGAATCTCATGCTGTCTTTGTCCTGCTTTTTTGCCTTGATCAAGAGACTGTCCTTTGATAGGTTTGGTTGTTGGTAGAGTTAATTTTTTGGTTGGAATTATGCATGTAAAGTTTCTGCATGTGAGTAATAAGTTGGTGTGGTTGAAGAGTTTGTCTCTTTAAAAACTGGCAGAAGTGAAAGTGTGCTGCCTTTTCTGTTGGTGCAATAGAAGCTTGGTGTGTAAAACTTAAAGCAAGTGAGCCAGAAACCCAAGACTGCTTCTGTCAAGTAGGGTATGAAGGCACTGAAGTAATGTCATAAAGTTACTGCAAAGTCAGAGTCATTCATCCTGCAGAAACTGTCAAAACTAAAACTTCCTTGAATTTGAGATTTCAGTAGTGTTTAGTTAATCCAAGTTGTAGTCAGCTACGACTTTGAGAGTGTGGTGGAGAGGCAAGTTAACACTTAAGTACCAGATTTTGCTTTACCTCTGTCCTCAACCTTGTCTTATTTCACAATTAAACAAAATCAAACATTTGCCTAGTAGTATTCCCAAATAGAGAAAGCAGTGCTGCATGTATTGAGTGGTATTTTATATTTATGTATGCCTGCAGGAAATATGTATGTAACTTCAACTTACGTTTCAGGATTAACCTACTGTGTTTTTTCTTTAAGTTATTAATTTAGAAAATGTAAGGTAATTATGTGGTGTTTTCAGTTTTGCTTAGCTTACCTTCCTCATTACATTTGTCTCAATACTGTTGGGCTAGTTTGCCCTTATTTGGTCACCATTTAGTCAGTATACTGGCTTTTGATACTGTGGAAGAAGGATCTCAGAATCGTAGAATAGTTAGGGTTGGAAAGAACCTTAAGATCGTCAAGTTCCAACCCCCCTGCCATGGGCAGGGACACCTCACACTAAACCATATAATCCAAGGCCTCGTCCAACCTGGTCTTGAACACTGCCAGGGATGGAGCATTCATAACCTCCCTGGGCAACCTGTTCCAGTGCCTCACCACCCCTTGCTTTTCTGAACTTGGTCTGCTTTTTTATTCTTAGTCTGCCATAAAGCTTCATTTATTCACTAATGAGTTGTCCATGTGAATTATAGTTGCCATCCATAAAGTTCTGTAAAATGGAACTCCAGTCCATTGCCTTTTAGCATCTTAATGCCTCCCCCAACTTCCCTTCCAGCAATTGCTATATGTTATTTGAACTCTTAAATTGAAGACAGCAGCCTGTTTTTCTGCTATACCTTATTTATTAAAAAAATACCCAAAACACTATGTATATCCTCGATTACTGTATATTGACTTCATGTTAATGAAAACCTCTTTCTCAAAGAAAAAAAGGGAGGGGGGATGTACTTCCTGCTTATTTGTAGAGCTGGAATATTAAATCTCTCTTGTAGCTGCCATAGTGTCAGAATTTGTGCTATGATCAGTGACATTATCTGAAGAAAAAATAGCAATACAAGAATTAAAGGAATTAATTTATGGTTGCAACTTACTGAGCTTTATAGCCTTCTGGCTGTTTCCCTGCTGATTAGCGTACCAGGTACATCCTGCATATTGTATCTAGAAGGATCACAGCACCAATAAGAGGCACCAATGAAAGCAGAAGCAAAAGGTAGTTCTGTTTAGAGAGGGTTCTTTCTCTTAAACATCAAATGGCCATAGCTCTTTTATGCTTACACTTAAAATTGAGGTTGTAATGGAATGCTTGGGAAAATGTAGTCTTGTCTTTCTCTTAACTTTTCTGTTTGTGTTCTCATTAGAAGCAAAGTAACTGAATTATAACTGAATAGGTCAAACTAATTTTTAGAGAATAAAATAAGTTTTTGGACTCAGTATAAAATCCAGTTATTTAGTTATCAGGGCGTTGTTTATTGACATAGAATGCCTCTAATAAAAAACCCACTAAAAGTGTTTCTTATGGAATGATATTTGACTTCTGCTTTTTTTCAGAAGAAATCTGTTCACTTGGAAGATCCATTTAATGATGAACAGCGTGAGCGGCATGAAGTAGAAATGCTAGCCAAGAAGTTTGAGGCAAAATATGTGAGTTATTTACCTGAATTAAAATGTGCAAATATTTAATAGTGATAACTTATGATGCTGTAGAGATGCTAACACCTTTTTTTTTTCTTTTTTCTGAGTAAGGCTGCTAATGTAGTGTCAAATGACTTGTCTGTACTTCAGAGCTGACAGTCTCATGATATTTCATTTAAGCAGCTTGAACCTGCTACAAGCTTATTAGACAAGTCTGCCTAATAGATTTGTCTATAGGATGTTATAGCTTGAGAAGCTATTCTTGGAAGGGCTTCCTATGTAAACACAACTGAGTAATAGATGCAGGTTGATATTAGTGATAAATACTGTGCTGAAGGAAAGAAATGTAATGCTGTTGTGCACTCTTGAGCAGCTCTTCTGTTTGGGCGAATACTGATGGATCTTGGTGCATTTCTGACTAGTTTGGAATGCTTCCATAGGAAGTTATTGTTGAATAATAAGTTATTGCTTGATGAGTTTATCTTGTAGCTTCCAGCTGCCTGAAGATACTCTGCTTACTCCTGAAACTGTAGCATGAATGACTTGAAACAACACTAGGTAGTAACATAAAGAGGCTTTCAGTAATAAATGAAGGTAGAAATCAGAAAATGTTGACTGAAACCACACCCAAACAGGTCTATAAGAATTCATATGGGTAGGGTTGCGTGATTAATTCTGAGCTGGCAATCAAAACTCATCATCATGCTTAGGCATGTTGATATTCTGGATTACTAATAGAGTACCTCAATAATAAAGAAGGGAAACAAGAGCAGTCATTTGTATCTTTTGCTGTTAATGTACATAGTAAAATCTTTCTTGTCTGATTTATTCAAGGGTTTTTTTGGTGGTTTGTGGGGTTTTTTTTTTCCTTTCTGGCAAAGTCAGATTTCTCTGAGTGCCCAGTCTATGGATTCTGTAGAAGTAATTACTGGGATACATAACAAAAGAAACCCTTAAACTGAAAGGAATCTTTTAGTCTTCTAGAGGGATTAGTGGAACACAGTATACCCAGTGAATTGAAAAGGCAGTTCCAGAATACTTTTTTTTTTTTTTTTTTTCATTTGAAAGATAAATCAGGTTTTTGAATGTGAGGAAAAAAAAATGTTTCAACTGTACTTTTGTAGGAGACTCATTTCCATAATACAAGTTAGAGATTTTATAATGTCCTAAAACAAGTTGCTTAACTACAGCAGATTAAAGTTAGTGTAGAGCATGTAAAGCAATAAAAGTAGGAGGGAGTGGCAGTGGAAGCAGTTTAATTTTACATGTGCATTTATGCATACATCAAATCTAAACATGTACATTTATGGACAAAACATGTTGTTGTTACACTTAGAAAAACCAGAGTTAAATGTTCAATAGTCATAAAAAGGGGCAAATAGATACTTTTAACTAGCAGTAGATAACAAACTTGTAAGATTAGAGTTTTAAATTCACAGTGCTCTTGTATCTTGATTACTATTTTCACTTCTGATTTCTTGCATTTCTCCCATTCTCTGCCATACCTTCTCTCATCCTCTGCCATGCCCCCCTCAGCCCCACAAAATTCCTGAAGGGGAATGTCTTCTACAGAAAGAACTACTTATGTTAGGGCCAATAAGCGTTGAGGGTGGTGAGTGATTAATAGTTCTTGTGTTAGATACTCCTTGCGCTTTTTCTCTTCGAATAAGAGAACCATCAATCTACTTACAGTCCATGCTCGGAGGAATTGCATCTTTGTACGCTGACCCAGTACAATTGCTCATGTTCTGACAGCATCCAGCCATCTTCTTGTTCTTGTGGTGAGATGTTCACACCTTAGCTTAAACTAGAACAAATTAAATACTTTTTCTCTTTCTTTGATAGTGTTTTAGTGTAAAAATTACCAGTAGTTGTATGAAAGAGAAGTAGAGGTTTTTTGGCTTTGTTTTGGATATTTTTGTTTCTGGTTTGTTTTTTTGTTGTTGGGGTGTTTTTTGTTTGTTTGTTTTTTATCAGCTTTGCAAGAATGACTATATCCTAGTTAAACTAATTATGTATTGCTATCTATATCCATATTAAAATGAAGTAAAAAAATCTCAGCACATGTGACAGTACTTCTGAAAAATTTGATGCATGAAGAACAGTATTCTTTGAAGACTTTTTCTTTCTTTTCAGATAAACTCCTGTACTCAAATCAGTATGGTATTTGATATGTCTTGCAGGTACTAAGAAAGCCTGTGAATAAATATATTTTCATAAAGTAAGATGCAGTAAAGTTAATGTACCATTTGTTTACTTGATCAGAACTTTTCTCCAATTGCTGCGTGTTTTAAACATCAGCATAAAACTGTTCAGAATGGTTCCAGTTTTTGTTCTTTTGATGACTGTTGCTTTCTAGACAAAATCAAACACTGTTGTAAAAACAATATGTTGAATCTTGGACAATATTGTACATAGTGTAAGAATTTTTATTGGGTCAAAACAAAGGTCCATGTAACGGATGGTAGAATAATCCTCAGACGCTAGTGGCATCCCATACTTGAAAGTGTAACAAAGTAAGTGTTATTACACTTAACAGAGTAATTGATGTTACTTCACTGTGCCTGTCTGGCAATCTGTGGCTTAATTTCTCCCAAAGTCAAAGGTTGCATGTTTAACTACATTTCTTACAGCTTCCTGCCATAAATTTGCCAGATCATTTTGAGTTCACTGAATTTGTGTTCTGTAGCACTGATTACAGTGATGGTTGTTGTGTGAAAACATACTTCATACTTAAACATGATGAGTTTGCGTGGTGCTCCATAGTTTCTGTATTGTAAGAAACGGTGAAATATTCCCTGTTCTTCCACATGCTGCATATGGTTCTGATGCTATCATCTAAATTCAGTCCTTTCATTCCCCAGCTGAAGTGTCTTTAACATTGTTATTGTACAGAAGCACTGTTTTCTACTTTTAAACATCCTTGTTGGCTTACTGTTCCCTTTTTTGTTCCAATTTCTGTTTCTAAATTAAAGAACATTAGTGGTAGGATGCCCTGATTTATCAGTGATATAATGATGACTTCTGATTTTTTTTTCCCCTCTGTCCCTTTTTTATAAGTCCCAGTTTTTGTGGTTTTCTTGGGGGTTTTTTGTTTGTTTGTTTTTTTTTTTTTTTGACCATTGTTGATTGTTGAGCAAATGTCACAGAACTGTGTGTAAAAACTCCAGTGCTTCCTGAGCAGAATAAGAAATTGTGAGCACACCGTATTTATTCTTGTTTGGGTTGTACTACTTTTGTGTCAGTGACTTTTATTGATACTGAATTCAGTTGATGATTTATCATATTAAGTTCAGAACAAGTGCACGGTCTTTCTGTGATTATTTAGTTGTCTTCTTATTTTTACTGTCATCAGCAATTTTGACATCTCATGCCCAAACCATTCTATCATTTCTCCAACTCTTAGCCCTCTCTGTTGCTTCTAAAAATGAATGATTATACATCCCTCGGTGACTTGGCTGATTACTTTCTTTGCCAAAATGAAGTACTTATTCAGCCTTAAATTAGACATTAATTTGAGTGGACCTTCCCTCTTATCACTTGATAGTTTCTTGACTTTACAGATATTTGGACCTTTTTTTCAAGTGTCTGAAGTACTGCTTGCTTCTACCAAAATTCTTCCCTGCTCTGGAATGTATATTTCTTGTGCTTGCTGGCTTTGTTTTTTATAACTTCTATTGACTCGCCCAATGTAGAGATCAGGTTTACTTGTTTGTAGACTGTTTTTTGTCCTTGGGAGGTTTCGCAGAAATTGGTGTTGTATTTGCCCCCATCTAGTCCTGTTGGGCAAAGGTTGTTTAGACTTTAGGTTACATGCCACAGTTAATTTATTGAAGTCATATTGAGTTTTTTGAAAACTTGCATGAGTACTGTTTGCAGCCTCAGGAGCTAGACATCTTGATTCGCTCTAACACCGTGACTGCTTTTGTTGTGGGACAAGGTTGGAGGAACTCTTTTGAGAAATGTGAAAAGCTTCAGCGGTAAAATATCCCTGAACCGGTGCATAGTAAACACTGATGCAGTTGATGATACAGTTCTGCTGTGGTCTTGCATCGTTAACATCTTGATCACATGGACTTTCAAAATCCTTCCTTAAAAATAGCGAACCAGGCCTGAAGAAAATTCTCTACCTATACATAAAATGGTTCAGATATTTTCATATGTCTGAATATAGGTTACTATTTTAATCCTGCTTTTCTTCATTCAGCTATTATGAACTTCTTTTTCATTAACTTTGTTCCATATTCACACTATGTTTTTATGAATAACCGGCAGTCAGAATGTATTGAGAGCTTTTTAATATTTTTTGTAATGCCCATACACTGAAATAATTGGATAGCTGTTGCTGCAACAGGATTTTGGACTGGCAAACAAGGATATTGATGGTTACTTGGTCTTAACAAGAGGTGTGGTATGGAGGTGGATTGCATTACACATTGGTGATATCAGTAAAGTATAGTTTACGTAGCATTCTTCAGACAACCTGCTAGTGCCTTGGTTAGAATCATGAGAATTACATAAGCTTTTGCATGGGTTAAACAGAATTCTTAAGTGCTACCTTTATTTTTCCTAAGAGTTTTTTTTTCTCTCATTCAGACTGTTTTCTGTGGCATGTTTTGGGAACATGCAGACATTCAGCTGTGACATGAGTGACGGTAGGGGGATGATAGGAAGTTAGGAATACTTAGCTTGGAAATCTGAGGCTTGAAATATAGCTTGGAAACCTGAATTAAAAATGGCATAGTTTTGACTCTCCCCTCCCACTCCTCCCAGGGCTGTTGTGTTTGTGTAATTATACCTGAGAGATTCCTGTTTTCTTGCAAGAGCACATGCTTTACTTAGTTACAAACTTGAATTCTTGCAAAATATTGTTAAAGTGGAGGTGTTCAGATGCTTAGGCTTCTCATGAGACCAAAGATGAAGCCTTCTTTGAACAGTGTCTGCATATACATAGTAACAAGCGGGTTATGATATTTGGATGTCACAACTGAAAAGACTCAGATTTTAAATGTGCTTAACTGTAGAGTATGGGCAGAGAAGCTTCAGGAGCAGTCTTTTTGAATTCATTGAAGATAACTGGTTATCATTTTAGTAAAGATGGTGCCTTTTGAAACATTTTATCTTTTAAGACTTTGATAGTTCTAACAATACCTGGTAGTCAGAAACGTAAGTCTTATATCCTAAGTAGATTGCCATTTATATAACTAAGTTTAGATTCCCTGAATGTTTGAGCTGGGTGTGAGGTTTTTACTTGATTTAACAATAAAACCTTTACATGAGAAAAGTACTTGCATGTTAAATTGAAGTTTATTGTGTCCCAGAGGCAAGTGAGCCCACAGTCTGTGATGCACCTTCTGGCTTTGAGTTACTCAAGTAACCATTTCATGTCCAGTCCTATCAACTGAGGTGATGGCTCTTGCATTTCAGGATTTTATCTTAACACATTTTTCTTCAGTTATGTCATATGATTGCTGTAATTTCTTGAAAACTCATAGACACCATATCTGCAAGTACCAGATCAATAGTTTTATTTTTTACTTGAGCTTCACTTTCCTGTAGAGAAGCAGTTTATTTTGTGTGGTGAAACACTTTACTGAATGCTAGGCTATTAGTATTTTCCTTTTGTAAAAACTCTCTAATATCCTGAAAAACTTAACACTTTCTAAATTATCCCAGCCCTTCTATCACTAACAGTTCTATCACTATGCTTTAAAAACATAAAACAGTGAAACATTTCTAAATAGGAAATATTAGGAAAACTTCAATAATGCAGAAAGCAGGTGGCTAGTGAATACCTTTCAGGGATGATTCTGGTGAGGCACGTTTACCAGAACTCATTCCTGTGTGAAAGTTTTTATTAAGTCATGTAGACCATCTTCAAGAAAGCAAAACTAATAGTTCCCTGAGTGACCATCTCTCAAATATTTTATGTTCTGTAGACTTTAGTATGTTGTTTCCATGTTTCCCAAATCATCTAACTCTTGTTTTGTTTTCAGGGTGGAAAGCCCCACAGACATCGGAAGGATCGCCTGCAGGATCTAATTGATATAGGTTATGGTTATGATGAAACGGACCCTTTCATTGATAATTCTGAAGCGGTAAGTAAGCCTCATCAAAGCAGCAAGAAGAAATAAGAAAATGCTTTATTCTTTTTAATAAAGAAAGGTATGGGAAAAATTTGTGCCAGTGTATAACTAGTGGATCCAAAAGGCACCCTATTTGGGAATCCAATGAGTGATTGTATTTGTAGTCTCATTCAAATATCATTATGCACTACAAGAATAAAGAAGACCATTGCTAGGCTGCATAATTTTCCAGCTTTAGAAATTATTTTTATTTGTACCTTTCATTTACCCCAGTCTGAAATTACACTGGCTCTGTTTAGTTTCTTGTACCAGCTATCTATCTGGATTGTTAGTAGATTACTGGTGTTAGAGTTCCTGCATTAGATCAGGAGGGTATTCTGCTCTTAAAATCGACTAAGAACAGGATGGTTATTCTAAACATTTACTGAGTGTCTGAAAAATTTGAGATAAAACAGCTTGGTTAAACAGCACAACACTACAGCTTGTTTTGTCTTGAGTATTTTGCAGAAATGAAAGTACGTCTCAAGGTAAAAGATACTGGGTTCAGGCAGTATCAGGGATATCAGGAGGTTTAGAAGAGGCATTTGAAGACATGTTAGGGATAGTATATGAAATTGTGAGAATGAGGAAGAAGCTTGGGAGAGAGAATGGATGATTTAAAATCTTGGAGACCTCCTATAATTCTCCTTTGTTGGATACCAGGAAGAAGGTATGCTGTTTAGTTAAGTAAAACCAAGCCAAACCCCCTAGAAAAAAAACTTCTGATACTTTACTCAGCTTTCAGTTTCCTCCATTGCTTGGAGATATGAGTTACACTGGACAAAACAGCAGTGATCTGCTGCTCTGAAAAGGAGGAGGCTGAAAGTCTGAATGCGAGTGGAAAGATGATGAAAAGGAGTTGTGAGAAAACAGGAATAAAAGCACAGAAGTGAAGTGCATTGCTTAGCATACATTGTGTTGTGCCTCCTCTTGGATGTAATAGTAGACTTAAGAAATTATAAAACTTTAAAGAGCTTCATTGAACACTGAGCTGTGAGGTATCTAGCATATAGATGTAGCAATGAATATTGCTTTTCAGAACTGTGGGTGGTGCACAGAAGGCATGCTGCAGAACTCATACCTTCCTTGCAAAGGAAGTTACACAGTGGATAGCAGGCTGAGCTTAAATCTGTGTTAGTTTTTGAAGCAGGTCTTGAAGGCATGTGAACAAGTTTCATGAAAAGTGAGTTTGCTGTACATGGTTATTGTAGCTTGTATTAATTTGTCCTTATTCTTGGCCTACATTAAAATTTTAGTTGAACTTGCCAATATTAAAAGTGTTGTATTGTTATCCCTCAAATTCTTTTGTGCTGCAGGAACAGTATTGGGGCATAAGCATTTGTATGTCCTTTCCAAAGGTCAGATTCTGATCTTCAGCTCAGTATGAACAAAGGTTCTTCACTCCTGCTGAGAAACACCTTGAGCCTATAGGCTTACTGGGTGTCACTATTGCTTAAGTTAACCGTCCTTGGTTTTGAAATTTTATCATACAGAACCATTTTTCTGGATCTATTGTGACTTGTCATACGTGATTTGGATAACTTTCAGTACTCAACAGTACAGGTGTCTATCAAAGAAGTGTGGGAGTCTAGCAGGGTGGAACACTCACAAGTGTATTAGTGTTTCTCATGCTGTGCCTCCTTCCAGTGCTGCTGCTGTTATCAGCAGCAGATCCATTACATTTGTGGAAGCATTAATTTCTGGTATCTTTTGCCAGACTCCTTGGAGGAACATACAAAAGGCAGTTGTTAGGGGACCAGATGGTTGCATCATGTGGTAGCTGTGGAAGCTACTGGGGAGAACGGTGTATTCTCTAAAGATTGCTCTCCTGAACAAATCATTATGCCTTGTGTCTGCATTACAAATACAGACTAGAGAGAGGCCATTTTTATTTTGCTTTCATCCCCATTTCTATATAGAAAAGAAGAAAAAAAAAATGCATTGTATGCCAGCTGCAGTTTAAGTTGCTGGGGCAAAGCTTAAGGATCCTGTAATGTAGGAGTTAAGTTCAACAAAACCTCTCATTCCATCTCAGATGCAAATAGGAAGTGTTCAGAAAGACCTACGTGTCTGGCTTGCTCATCTTCTGTGTGGCCAGCTATTAAATCACAGTGTACCCTGGGAAATGTCAGAGCCAGGCTCAGCCTGGACTTGCTTCATTTTGGAAGATGCACTTTCTTAAACATAAAAAGCTACAATATCCTGGATACAAACACTTGAAAAATGAATATGAGTGCCTCTTGAATTGCTACAGGATTGGTGTCCTGTTGTCTCCCTCTGTACCCCAGGAAAAATAATTGAAAGCTTCTTTAGAATTTTAGACCTCTTTCTTGTCACAGGTGTTAAAGGAATACTGAGCTTTTTGGCACTGAAAGAGATGTATTCCATAGCTTTAGAGATAGTTTCCTTCTAGAACCAGATTTTGAAGCAATGCCATGAAGTATTATTCAAGAAATCAGACCAATAAAATTGTAAGTGTGTTTTTAGCAGGCATTGTATTTGAGTTAAGAAATTTTGCTTGCTTTGGATCCATTTCCAATTAAGCTATTTTTTACATGTAACATGGATGTATATATAACAAATAGCATATGTAACAAACAGCATTTGGGTCCTCCAAGGATCCAGGAAGGCAATTGTTCTGCTTGTTTTCCTGAGGGCAGGGATCGGGGTCAAGTGCAGGGAATTTGCTAATGGCATGGTTCTCAGGTAACAGATTTTAATGGGGCTGGAATGCAGAGAGGTGCAGGACATGCCTGTCTGGAGTAAGGTTTTTGGAAAGTGCTGATAAAAGGGAGCTTTTCCTAAGTGAGGGGACTTTTCCTGTCAAGCTCCTCAAAGGTCACTGGTACCTGCCCTGATGAAGTAGGGTAAATTTTGGTGTGCTTAGTAGGCTAGGTTGCCATTGTTTACATTGCCTTCTGTGTAAATGCAAACTATGCACAAGCTTCTTAAAGATTTGCTTTCATTGTTTACTCTGCAAAGAATCAGTACTTTCCTACAGTGCAGTAAAGACATTAGCAGCATGGCTGCATTAAGACCCTCAATGTCCTGGTGGCAACTAAACACAGAAAAGTAAGGGTACCCTTTAGTGGGCACAGACATAATGCCAACTGAATGAAAGGTTTTTAGGTACATAATTAACCTAAGTGATGCAGTCAGTTTCTGCCTTCCATCTTCCTTCAGGTGTGTCCCCTCTTACAGGAATAAGTGCATAGTTACAGGTTGCTGCTTGCTTTGGATGAATCTGATATATGTGCTGCTCAGTTTTTTTACCTTGCTATTCTCCTTGGAAAATTTTTAGCTGGTCCTTTTTGGAAGAAGTTTCTTTTCCTCTCTGGTTGCAATTGCAGGCAAATGGGAAATCCATGCTTCAGTCTATATCAGTGGATATTTTGGGGTTGAGTGTTTGTAGCCAGTCAGTTGTGAACTCTCCATTTGAAAAAAATGTAATTCAAGACCATCTTACTGTTGCTAGCATGTAGCAGTTAGTCTGATGGCAATTCCTAATCTTTGCTTATCTTAAAGGGACCTTGTTAATATGCAAAATGTTCATAACTGGCAAAACAAGCTGTCCCTCCTCAGTCTTTCCACTGCTTTGATGTTTAAAGTAGGTTTTACTGTAGTGTAAACTGACAGGAACTGTGTCCTTTGTGGAATGATATTCCTGTAGATTTCTGCTTCCGCTTTATTCTACCTGCATGCACACATGCCTTATCTGGCTGGACTTCTTGGTCTTGTGATGAGCTCCGAATATTCACTCAGTTGAATACCTTCTGGACAATGTAAGCTTCACATAGATAGAGATTCCATGGGAATACAGTGCTCTCTGAGCCTTCTGCTATGTAATACAGGACAAGGATCTGAAGTAATCTTAAAAAAAAGGTGAAGAAATATGCAATTTTCTCTTAATCAGAGGTAGTAAGACTTGCATGTCCAAAACAAAGACCACCTAGCACCTTCACCCATGCATGCTATAGCTCAACTTCTTCCCATGCAGAGGAAGAATTATCTACCTAGAAACCTGTAACCAGTGAAAGCTATCTTTTGAAGCAGCAGTACCAGGTAGCAACTCTGATAGAAACTGAAGCAATATATGAACAACAAGAGCAATGGTAAGCATACACTTCAGTACTTTGGATATTCAGGGCAATATGACAGTATTTAACCCAGTCAACTCTATTCATGGTTCCACAGCAGCCTTCTAAACAATAGTGTAAGAATCCTGTGATGCTGGGTAGAGAAAACTAGCCTACCACTAATTTCTCACACATGGAAATTTTCTCCAAAACAGGTACTTAATAGGAAAACATGTTTTTCTTTGGCTGTATCTTGCCTCAAGAGGTCAGGCCTTCTAAAAGACAGTCTTTCAAGGATTGTATGTTTATTTTTAGTAATTCTGAACACACTGGTAATAGAGTTGCTATTCTTCTATCTGGGTTGCCTAGAATACTTTCCATAATATAAGGGCTCAGTCTTTGCAAAAATTCTGTGTCATGATACACAGTTTTCACATGTTTTTTCAGGATAAATTTGGTTTGCTTCATCTTGTTATCCCCAGGCTTATTAAAGTTTTGATTGATTTTAATTTCCTCTTCTCTCCCATTCTGGCTTCCCCTTAAGTATTCCTGGTGGTGGGATCTAAAACTTTAAGCTGATGGGTTGCCAGTAAGAGCATCTTGCCTAAGACTCGTGAATATCTGAGATGCTTTTTCCCAATGAGAGTGATATTCATTTGAGGAATGTCAGAGCTTAGTGTGGCAGTGGTCATGAATGGTATCTACCTGGAGAATGGCAGAGTTGAGCTGATGGTAATTTTTACCTTTTTGGGGGTTTTTTGTTTGTTTGTTTTTGTGGTGTTTTTGTTTTGTTGTTTGTTGTGTGAGATTCTGGGCCAGGTGTTTCTTCTCTCATCCTTCCTACTCAGAGGAGCTTGTTTTATGCACAGCTATGGAGGGCAGTGTTGTTGCTTGAGA